CATATATTTTTCACCGTTGTTTTGCACTTTACGCCCAGTGGTACCTTTTTCAGCATATAATTGAGTCTAATACATTTTCTTATTCTTTGGCGTTGACGTGTTATAAACTACTGTCCATAAGAAACGATACTACGTGTTTGAAAAAACTAAACGATACAGACATTTCAAATTGGTATATGACTTGTGAGTAATGTTTTCACAGTATGTGTACAAAAATTCATTGCAATCAATCCGTTACAATCATGAGGACAGACATGTAAAGAAGCGGGGGGTCCAAAATGAAAATTAGTTTTGAACACAGTTGATGAGTCTAGTGTGGAAAATGTCACAACACACGTCTCAAAGTCACGTTCGTACCGGGTATGTCAACCGTAAACGTCAATACACGCTAGTACACGTCTACGGGCTGATGACGTCAGACGTCTGATGACGTTGGGGGGGGGGGGGGGGGGGGGATGCGTTGCCATTCATTGAGGAGGCATTGTTCCAATTTCTGGAGGTTAACTGGAGACACAGGGCGATTCCTGACTTTGCGGCCGAGAATGTCCCACATGTGTTCGATTGGGTTCATGTCCGGTGAACATGCCAGCCATGGTAAAACGTGAATGTTGGCGTTTGCTAGGAAGTTCTGGGTCAGCCTTGCCGTGTGAGGCCTCGCATTATCGTGCTGGAAAATGATACCATTAGGCTGTTGTTAGGCACCACAACTGGTTGTAAGATGTCATCACGATAACGCTGCGTATTCAGGTTTCCTCGAATAACGACGAGTCTCGTTTTGATGTCACCGCAGATTCCACCCCAAACCATTAAACCTCCGCCTCCATATTGCCTGACTTGATGGATGCAGTTCGGTGCCAAACGTTCACCTACTCTTCGGTACACACGCTGCCGGCCGTCGTTCTTGAAGATGAAAAATCTGCTTTCGTCAGAAAACATTAAACGTGCCCAGTTCCTCCGTTGCCACCGTCGAAGTCGCCTGGCCCATATCCGTCTGTTGAGTCGGTGTTGAGGTGTCAGGAACGCTCCGCGGTAGGGGCGACGTGCTCGGATACCATGTGCCCGCAGTCTCCTGTACACGGCTTGTCGACTTATCACGTGTCCCAGTGCCGTCCGTGCCGTTAACGTCGCCGAAGGTGAAGTACCCGGATGTGGCGGTCTTCAATAGGCGTGGTCTGGCTGCTGTCCGACCTGTTTGACGCAACCGCTGCATTAACCTGCTGACGGTTATGCGCGCGCATCCTAACCTTCTGGCGACGTCGCGGTGCGTAGCTCCCAGTTGGAGCATTCCTACGTCTCTCTCTCTCTCTCAATCGCTGTCAAACGTGGCATTTCTTTTGTGTGCTTTTTGTTGCTGTGATCCCAACGTGTCGGGTCAGCAATTTTATACAGAAGATATGCACGTGCATTTCGTGTTACGGGACGGAACGTCATTTGGGCAAATTGCACGCTTTTTTCTCAAATGATCAAATGTTCCCGGTTTTATCGACCGAATACGTTTGGTTTGGAACGTAGGATACGCAAAAGTACCTTGTAACTACCGAAAATTACCTCTTCATAATAAAATATTTAGAAAAATGTGTGGTATCGTTTCTTTTGGACATTAGTTCATATAAACTTACGGCTAAAAGAAAGTTCACAATAGTTCTAAATCACTCTAGTGTAAAAACCACAAAAGCTAGATGCAGGAAGTAAAATATATTGAAAAGATGAAAATCTCAATGAAGTATTGGCATGACAGTTGCCCGAACTGAGGTGGAGTAGAAAAAAACAAGCTTTCAACGTAATGGACTCTCGAATTCAATGACACGTCACATTAATAGCCTGTATGACCACCACCCTGCTACAAGACACGCAAAAGCTCTCTGGACATAGAAACAGTCATGTGGGATACGTGGCCATTCTTCTTGGAGAGTCGGGATCGGTACGGTTCTTGTCGGTTGGCTGGAGGATGTGGTCGATGTCGAACACGATGATCCATGACATCCCAGAGGTGTTCTCTAGGGGACCTGTCTGGGGTGCGTGCAGGCCACGGTAACACGTTGAAGTTGTTGGCTCCAAGAAAGTTCCGTACGATTCGGTTGGTATGGCGTCTGGCATTGTCTTGCTGATAAAGGACACCACGTGGCATCTGTTGTAGAAATGATAGGACGAAAAAAGTCAACCATGTAACGCTGAGCGTCACATATCCGTTATCAATTACAAGTTGTGTTCTCTCCTGCCCACAAATTCCTCACGACACCGTAACACCCCGGCCTTCTGAACGCAACATGTCACCGTTCGTTAACCCCTTCATTAGTACACACGCTGGCATACATCATGACATAGAATATATATTTACACTAAAAGCACAACAGACAGGTAAACACAACTTCATACGGTTACTGATACACTCCACGGTAACATTCATATTACTATTTCATAACTCATACATAAGTTGAAGAAGGTCTGATTTCTCGCATTTAAGGACACCGGTTGAGGTAATATTGATGCACACAAATTAAGCAATATAGCCCATACAACTGAAGCCTCTGTTGGTAAAGCTGAAGAACGTATTAAAACATAAGAATTCAATGGGATGAGGTTTGTGGCACACCACAGAAAACATTCCTGAATAAATGTTGTCTGTTGAATCCATTGAACAAGTGTATCGGCCAGTGGACATGTACTTGTGCGGTAAGACGACGATGAACAGATAGGCTTTCAATTTTCAATTCTGTGAGTTTGTTTGGCAATCTAATTGTGTATTATGTTTGTCAGGCCAAGCATGAGGTAAAGAGAAATGTCCTGTCTCTTGTAGGTGGATCAGTGCGGGGAAACTTGGGCGGGGAAAATTGGGTGGGGAAACTTGGGCGGGGAAATTTGGGTGGGGAAACTTGGGTAGGGAAACTTGGGTGGGGAAACTTTGGCGGGGAAACTTGGGTGGGGAAACTTGGGTAGGGAAACTTGGGTGGGGAACCTTGGGCGGGGAAACTTGGGTGGGGAAACTTGGGTAGGGAAACTTGGGTGGGGAACCTTGGGCGGGGAAACTTGGGTGGGGAAACTTGGGTAGGGAAACTTGGGTGGGGAAACGTGGGCGGGGAAACTTTGGTAGGGAAACGTGGGCGGGGAAACTTGGGTCAGAAATGCCTTAGAATGGTAAGAAAAGTGCTGTAAACCTTTTCAGACTTCAAGATCGGCAATGTCTTAACAGGTGATCATGTTTCACCGGGTCTTCTTCAGCAAATAAAAGAGACAAAACCCTTTCCATATTCAATAGAAATCTCCGCTAAAATCAGTCGATTGTACGATTCCGACCATATCATGAGCATGTGTTTATGAAACACTATAAAAAAGTGATGATCCCAGGTGTTCGTGAAAAGGTAAGCGTATCCTGCTCCACCGGTGTCACCGTCACAAACACATGCAATGGCATGTCAATTGTTAACCCGAAAATACACGGGAACATAAGACAAAAAAAGGGAATTGCATGGAACTTGCATAATTACAATTTGAATATGCAATACATTTTGTAATTTCATAATATCGAAGTATTTCTTTTTGGATTACTTAAAAAATTGCTTTTACACTTATTTTATAAAATGAGTAGGGTATAGATTTTGTTACCATAATTACTGCATTGAGTGAATTGTTATTCTTCTCTTTAAATCCAAACAGTATGTGTTCATTTCTAAAATTAGCTCCGCTTATTGTATAGTTTCCAAGCCAATCTGAAAGTTTCATCCATATATCAGCAGCATAGTGACAATTACATAATACATGTACATCAGTAATTGTTTCAGATGGTTCATTACATAATGAACAAACTGGTGATTCAACATATCATATTTTAATTAAATAACAGTTAGTGCTCAAAATATTATACATAACTTTAAACTGGAACCATCTTAATTCAGAACTTTGTTTTTGTATGCCTTTTTGCCAGAAAAGGTTAAAGTTTGTCCACTCTGTATCTGTATACTGTTTTTTTAAAGAAAATCTTCCCATTTGCTGTAACACTTATGTTAAATAGGGCTTCATAAAATACGTTGCTTCCCTTTTTTATTTTTGATACATTATATCGCAGAATAGGCCTTTGGCAAACTTTAGCACTATATTTTATATGGTTATTTTGTAAATACCTATCGCTAGTTTAAGGTTAAAAAGTCAAATTCATCAAATCATATAATTTACCTATGTCATGAATGAAGTCATTTATATATGCTATACCCTTCCAATGCCATTGTGGAAAATTAATAGACTTACCGTCAAGTTTGATTTCATTTTTAAACCAGACAGATTTGCTCATATCCTCACCAGATTGTTTAACATTATCACACCAATTCAAGTATACTAACCACACAATAGAGATAATGGCGATATGTAACTGCGTGTCAAAGTATTCAGATGAAGCCTTAACCTAAACGCAGATTTCGTGAAGTATCAAAACTTCAAAAGGTACTTTTCAAACGGGGATTTTTTTTGCATCAACACCGGGTAACCCTCTTTTCGCGAAAAGATATAGGAAATGGACATCTGACGGCGTAATGGTGGATGGCCGAGTGGATGTGTGGGTAGATGTAACAAAAATATATTCTCTAATCAACAGTATCACTGTCTGAGTTTCACACTTGTCACAATACCAGTCAAGATCTGGGGTAGAATAGGTCTTCAGCAACCCATGCTTGTCGTAAAGATGACACTGCTTTACGTAAGTGGCGACTAACGGGATTGGGTGGTCATGCTCGCTGACTTGGTTGATGCATGTCATCGTATCCCAATTGCGTGGATCGATGCTCATGGTGTCAATCATAGGATTGTCTGTTGCAGACTCGATTATTTACAGACCGCCGTCATATAGCGGGAATATTGCTGAGTGCGGCGTTAAGCATCAAATAAACAAACAACACTTGTCACTGACTGTCAGATTCTTGATCTGGACTTGAAATGGCCACCAGACTGTGGAGTTGTATCTTCTGGGACAGTACAAGCATACCGACAATTACCAACACAAAGATATCATATCGCCTTTAGAAACTTTATTAGGCATTTTTACATGGCATAATCATTCCGAGATTGAAATTGGCATTGTTATATACACAGGTTTTAGGTAGCAAAAACAAGAATGAAATATAATTGTCACTAAAACACAGTACATGTTATACAAGCACATAATACCGAAATGTTCCCATCGTATGATGACGTCACCACTACCACGTGATAATGTATAAAAAGACGAATTTAGCAACACTGAACGTTTGAACGGAGCACAAAATGGTCAATTTTACGTTCTCGTGTTTACAGCTAAAAACATATTTTAAAATACACTGATGTTAGATGGGGTCACTGAGACGCGTGAGTGATGACGTCATGGTTAACGATGATAACACTAACATCGGGGGATATCATTGTGATAACGATAACGTCTATGACAACGGTTCAGAGTTGATAACGTTGATAACATCAGTATCAGCGTTGAACACTTACCTTAAGAACGAGAGCATTGTAATGATAACACATGACTGATAACACTTCTGTATTGATGATGGCATTGAGAAGTGATTATAACATTTACTCGCATCATGCACGTAAAATCAGTTATTTACGCTCGCTGGTACATTCGTGCATTAATATATGTCAGTAAAAATGTACTGGTTCGCATGATGTCATTAAGATTAATGTATTCTTTCGACCACATGCTCACATAAAGCCACATTTGAGACAGATTTGAATGAACAATATCCATATGGGTTATATTTATGTATTTACATATTTACAGTTTAGATATGTCAGTGACCACGCCCATGTGACCACAACCATGAGATCACATGTTGGCAACATCTGACCTCAAATTCCATCTAGTTTCGTCTATTCAACTACATGTATCTACTCATTTAATTAAAAAGATGCAAGTTACTCATGGAAGATGAGTCCTTGTTACAGAAAAAGAAAGAAAATTCATCATTATTGAAATATTCTAGTACATCATTCAGTTTGTCATTTCTGTTACCGGAAACATGACAGTTACCAAATAATATTATTATTACCATGACGACCGAACATGAGGAAGCGTCATTTCTACCAAAGATGTTGAACGCTTCTCTGACTTGTTCTTGATGGGTAAAGATAAATATATATTATTTACATATAAACTTTTAAAGTTAAGAAAGAAAATCAAGGGCGAGTTAAACATGTACATTGATCCGGTTTTTTTTCTGAATCATGTTAATAAACACATTGATGCCTTAAAAGTACGGCATACAAGACATAGTCAAACGCTACACGTTTAGCAGTAATCGGTTAGAATGAATTAGAGAGAAAAAGAACATATAAATCTGGCAACGGACTCAGCAGAAATTCTGCCCAACCCGTCAAAATTACCATGAACGAGTTTTCAACACAATCAGCACTTCTGCAGATGCTGTCCCTATGGCTTTCACAGTTGTCTCCCATACCGGTGCTCAACACACTGTTTGAAGTCACAATGAGACGGTTTTATTTCAGATCTGCACTTTCTCCTCAACCACACAATGCCCAACCTAACTCGTTTGAAGTTCCAGAGTGACGTCATCATTTCAAATCTGCACTTTATTCTTCACAAACTCCTTGCCTGGCAAAGTCTCCGTTGGAAGACGGCAATATTTCAAATCAGCATTTTTTTCAACTCCTAATGGGTCCAACTCACTGCTTGAAGTCATACTGCGAGGGCAGCGTTTCAAGCTGCACTTTCTTCTCGTGTACTCTTGGGTCAACTCATTGACCACAGTCATTGTGAACGTTGCACTATACCTGCAACATGCGTTCGTTGTATGTAAATGTACGGCATAGGATTTCACATGTGACCTTCATCGCGACATTCACAACTGCCTGTCCTTCATTCCTCTCCGTTTCTCCAGAATCAAGTATGACATTATTACAACATTACACACGACAATAACAACCCATAGAAGCCTGTCCAATTCTGCCCTTGAACATTATCCATCGGTACGTCACATGCATTATTTCTGTAGACCTCACACAATGAAAAACTCAATGGAACTGTTTCTCCACGAACTTCACTTATTCGCAGCATAAATCCCACTGACGTTGTTTCAACAGTTGGGCAGAGCAGTGTTTAGATTACTCATTAATCTGAGCAATTAACGACACAGGCCAAGTTGGGCGGGTACATGTGTGCTGGTTGACCAGGTGGAATTTTCACCCGATACAAACCTGACAATCGTAATATCAGCAACCCAGTCTTTCCTTCGTTGATCCACCTTGCAACAGTTGGGTGTCCTTCATCACGCAATTTCTACCGCTGCATCTACTTCATTTCAGAGTTGAACATCCTCGTCGTCAAAAACCTGTTCCATGCTGTCCAACGTCTGTGTGCTGATGCTGTTGCCGTTGCTGTAAGTTTGAGTTGCACTTGTGGACCTGCTGAAGGCGCTGCTGAATGATCCGGAAGACTTCAGCCGTTGAGTCATCTCAACCTCTGAAAAGCCAACTGTTGAAAAACGAACATTTCCATTAGTTATACAACCACATAGGTCTGACAGTACAACAATTGAACCAACTTATATACCACAGAAAACAATGCCACAGTGGAAGAGGGGAGTCATGCGTAATCTTCAACGTAGCATTCAATGTTACAGTTTTCACATCACCTGGACCTGGCATACTGGGTGCTGCGACTGTCGTCAGCATATGTCAGTGACATTCTTGGAAAATTGTCACAAGCGCATAAAAGCTAACTACTCCCGCATCCTGCAATATGACATTCATGCCCCTTCGAATGTTTCAGTGATCACTCCCCCCAACACACATAAACACCCACCCAATCCACCCCTACCCCCACCATCACGTCCTTCAGCAAGCTGTGACGAGAAGCCTATCGACTAAAGTGGATGTTAAGTAATAAATTACACATAACTGATGTCAGATTTTACAACTTTATCTCCAGCATAACATGGGCGGCTGGCTCTCAGCTTTATTACCGTATTAATATGACTGAGGAAAAGAGATTCCACAAATGAACTGCCATTTTATCTTTTATTTGAAGTTTAAGGCTGTTTCAAATTCAGTTATGTTATTTATGTATTGAGAGGATGTTTTTTTTTATCGACGTGTACGTGTTAACGCGAGTCGGTTTGACGTTACCGACGAACGACGTTGACATTATGTAACGTTTCTACATTACTGGATTTTGACACAGGCCATAAAGTGCTGGGCAATGGCGCTGATTGAAGGCTGTACCAGTAACATTCCAGCAATGTTGTACATAAATTCTCATGACTCACCACAAGTCACGGCCTGGCTTTTCTTACCATAAACCAAATTTAAAACATCACAAAATCTGTTAAAAAGGTTTTATGATGCAGTGAGAAATTCTTCTTGTAACAACTGCTATACGAGAAAGTCAAATGCATCCTTATTGATACATAATCGCTATTTTGTCAAGATCATGAAGTGTCTATAAATACACGCCCGACATTTTTTTCATAATCTAGAAAGTATAACGTGTTACACGAGAATCTCGGACTGACTTGACAAATTGACAATCCTGATTAGTGGAGAAAATACACTTTCATGTAAAACCCCAGCCACTCAGCTGATAACCACGCTGATATCCGCCCTGACAAGAACCCTGACAACCACCTACTGACAACTAAGGCGTTGGTCGTAGTCTGGCTCAATTGGTTGGCCGTGTGTCATCGTACACCGACGGCATCGGTCGTAGTCTGGCTCAACTGGTTGACCGTGTATCATTGACACCGACGGCGTTGTACGTTGGTCGTTGTCTGGCTCAATTGGCTGACCGTGTGTCATCGTACACCGACGGCATTGGTAGTAGTCCAGATCAGTTGGTTGATCGTGTGTCATCTTACACCGATGGCTTGGGTCATTGTCTGGCTCAACTGGTTGACCGTGTGTGATTGACACCGACGGCGTTGTACGTTGGTCGTAGTCTGGCTCAATTGGTTGATCGTGTGTCATCGTACACCGACGGCATCGGTCGTAGTTTGGCTCAATCGGTTGACCGTGTGTCCTTGACACCGACGGCATTGTACGTTGGTCGTAGTCTTGCTCAATTGGTTGATCGCGTATCATCGTACACCGATGGCTTGGGTCATTGTCTGGCTCAATTGGTTGATCGTGTGTCATCGTACACCGACGGCATTGGTCGTAGTCTGGCTCAATTGGTTGATCGTGTGTCATCGTACACCGACGGCATTGGTCGTAGTTTGGCTCAATTGGTTGATCGTGTGTCATCGACATCAACGATGTGGGGCGTTGTTTGTAATATCTAGTGTGTCTAGACAGGACATGAGTATTAACAGACAGTAGTCATATTGCTGGAATATTGGCATTAAACAAAACACAAACTCGACACCAAACTCGAGCCAAAATGTACAGTTCGAGCAGTTCGTTTTAGCATCGATTTGTTTGTGTGTGAGCTCAAATTGTATGGTGTATGCCATTCTAATAATGTCTGGTTACCATAAGTTCGATAGAATGTTTCTTACTTTCGCATGGCACTTTTACAACGTCTAGACTACGAGTGGCCACGAGCACAGGACCATGATGTGAGGTCTCTCCTTGAACACGGAGAATAACATTTCTTTTTAATACGCAAAAACCCAAACACCATGGAAACGAAAGTCATTCCAAATGCAACTCTTATTTCGTTTAAGGATTCACTTTCAACTGTCAGACAGCTCGTTTCAAGATATGCCCGTATGGATTACCCACAATGCACCGAGGAAGGGGGCGGGTCGTGGCCATTCTGTCTGGAGTCAGGAGTATTAGAGATGACTGATGGAACTGTTGGCGAGAGCTCAAAGGTCTTCACCGATCCTTAACGTATATGTCAAAACAATTGCATGTCTAAACAGTAACGCCTATCAATTGTTGCACAGCAGCACAGCGGAAGAATGAGTTGTCAAGGTTTGCATTGCTCAGGATTTATTCTGGAGTTCGGATCAATCAACCCGGACTGGTCCACAAAGTAATATATACAATACGTTAAAAACCGGAAAAAGCTGAGTAAGTTTTGTCTGACGGGTTAACAGCGTCATTGTCGGGATAAACAAGCAGGCTGGGCCTGGTGTTAATAAACGACAGCAGAAGAACGACGAGGGCCCGGATTATATGGAGAACAGTGGAGGACGCAGACAGTGGGTGATGTTTGGGAGCAGCTATTCAGCCGTTGTCAGTTTGGACCAAATCAGTGTAATATCTATAACGAACGCGCCGAGTTTCTTCATGAGTGATGGGACTGTTATGTGTAACCCCTTAATTCTGTCATCTATAACTGGGGATTGTCACGGAACTCAGAACGAGGCTGATGACCGAGTTGGACACACAGACAGATTCGGATCCATTTACCGGAATTAGGATGAATAAAAATGCCATTCTTGTACCTCACGCGTTTACGTCTGGTAATCTAACAAGATATTCTATTATCCACGGTTAGGGCTACCTGAAAAGAGTTATAAAGTAAAGAAAAGAGTTATAAAGCAACAAAAAGTCAGTTTTGATGAAGTTTGTTAAATTGCTCCATCACAATAAAAAAATCCCTATTATAAACCAGTCGTTCACAAGAGTGAGTTACACGAAACCTGCCAGTTGCCTAGCATGGCCTTGTGTTTATGAAGAAAGTAAACAAATGAAATGGCTTTGTCAGAACGTCTTAGCCCGAAAAAATGGTGAATAAGGGGAAGCCAATTAAAACGACTTACAAACAGGCCTCACCTCGCCTGTCAAGCTCAGATTTTATCACTTAATAACGGGCAGATGCGGAACGCCCAGGTTGAGAGATGCCTCGTGCTGGGGCTGTGAGTTATTCCGACCAGGGCACGAGACACGCTAAAATATAGCCGTCAATCTACATTGGCTTGATTTTGAGGCTTTCATAACAGGTCCACTCATAGTTAACGTTTTCGTCGTTATTGGTATATTATTAGACTGCTGAATAGCCCTTGTTAACGTAACAAAGTAACATAGTCTCATGAACTGCTGTTGTGGGCTTTGGTAGGGAAGGGTGTATATCTCGTGTCAGCTCGCGATACCATGTTCATGCCATACACATTCGTGGAGGCTGTCAGTTTTTTTTAACTCTTGAACTCTTTGAACTCTTTGACGACCTGGGATCAGTACATAGAAGTTGGTTTTTGTTTTGTTTTGTTTGTTAGTTTACGCCGCACTCAGCAATATTCAAGCTACATGACGGCGGTCTGTAAATAATCCACTGATTGATGTCATGAGCATCGATCCACGCAATTGGGATACGATGACATGCATCAACCAGGTCAGCGAGCCTGACCACCCGATCCCGTACGCGTTAGACGCCTCTTTCGACAAGCATAGTCGCCTTTTACGTCAAGAGTGGGTTGCTATTCTACCCCGGATCTCCACGGGTCACATAAAAGTTGTTTTATTCCCATATATCGATGCTTGTTTGTTGTTTATGTTACCAGTTTGGATGAAAACTTTATAAAACGTTTGAGGATATGAATTCTTCGGTTCAAATAGTAGGGCTAGGTTTAGTTGAAGCTGTAAATCGTACAGCAAACATATAGCTGTAGTTCATTGTTTAGTCGTCACTTGACAAGCATGATGTCCTGGGGCGAATTCTGACACGTGTTTCGATATAGGGGCGCAAGTCAAAGCGTGACGGCAGATGTAACGTCATGGGTGCTTTGGGCAGGTTCAACAAACTGATGTTTGTGCTACGGATAACGTATCATTCAGTTAGATGTTGGGCGTGGTGACGGTTGCGGAGATAAGATCACTTTGTGAAACCGGGCCCAGTAGGGTCGCCATACATCCGTTGTAAATCCAGTACAAACAAATAAAATGTTTTCAAATGTTTTTCGATCAATTAGTTGCATTTGCTCCCAACCTATAGGGGTGGTTTCCAGAATATAGCTTACAGGTGTTTGAAGGTTCCGCCACACTTTGATATAACGGAGTCTCACATTTATCAAATATTTAACAAACATAACACTGTCATATAATTGAACAAAATAGAAACAACTAGAGCGATTTAGAGATTACATCTTATATCACATAAGCCTTGAAATCATACGCATAGGAAATCTTGAAGGACAGTCAGATTTTCTATTTTGAAAAAGTTTGAATCAAAATTTTTAAAATCGACTATGTAGATATTAACTACCGACCTCGACATATGTTTTCATCAGATTTGAAAAGAAAACTAAATCGTTAAATTTTTCAAATGTTATTGGCGTGTTATGTTTTCGGAAAAAATGAATTTTGCTTTTTTAAGCCTTCATAGCCAGTATGGCGCCATGCGGAAGGAACGCCTCACGTCAAAATACCAGTTCGATTTATTGAGACACATGAAACTATATTTATGCTTCTTTAACCATACTGCGCCATCAACACCTCTCTCCGTGCTGGCGTCTGATTAAACTGGCACAATAACTTCACACCTAACTCCACCAATAAAGACAAACAATCGCCAAACATTAGACAGCTGAC